CACACACAAATTGTGTAAGAGAATTCAAAATAATACCCTGTTTCCCTGAAAATAAGACCTAACCTGAAAATAAGCCCTAGTATGAGTTTTCAGGATGCTCTTAATATAAGCCCTACCCCAAAAATAAGCCCTAGTTAAGTGAAAGCCCATCCTCCACCATTGTGCAGCAACCAGAAGATGACATGACTGTATTTGAATAAACATAAATTGTACATGAAAAAAGCATCCCCTGAAAATAAGCCCTAATGTGTTTTTGGAGCAAATATTAATATAAGACTCTGTCTTATTTTCTGGGAAACAGGGTATCATCCAGTCAAACCATGCATCTATGGAGGGAAATCCATGATGATTGTTGTTCACATATGGTGTGTGTGGTGTGATGAATGCCAGATTCCAGTGTGTGTGTATTTCTCAAGATTTATAATTCTTTCAGATGTTTACACCTCCCCACCCCCAATTTGAAAACATCTATTCTTCAGGGACCCGATATTCTAAAAAAAAAATTTCCAATAGAAAATTCTATTGTTCCTGCACATGTTGAAATTCCAAGGGTTTGTAGCTTAACAGCAATGTCATTGTTTTGACTAAAATTCTGCAAAGCTTGGAGGAATAAAGGCCTGACACAAGAGTCCTGGAATGCCAAAATACTGTGGCTTCAAGGTATTGGAATTACAAAGTGTGCAAGCTATAGAACCTTGAATTGCCAGCCACATATTTTCACACTGCAAAATCGAGGCTCCACAGGGCCGAGACGCTCTCCCCAAGCTGCACGCTCTGGGGACGGTCCTCCAAGAAGGAATGGAGCCAGGCCAATGCCAGGCCACCTATTCCCAACTCGGAGAGCCTCCCCAGGAGGATACCGTGGTCAATGGTATCAAAGGCCGCTGAGATGTCGAGGAGGACCAGCAGAGACACTTTGCCCCTGTCGGCCTCCCTCAGTAGGTCATCACACAGGGCAACCAATGCCGTTTCTGTACCATGGCGCGGCCTGAAGCCCATCTGAAATGGATCCAGGGGATCTGTTTGATCCAGGAGCGTTTGAAGCTGATCGGCCAGCACCCTCTCAACCACCTTGCTTAAGAAAGAAACGTTGGTGACTGGTCTATAATTGCCGTTTCACTGAAGTTGCTGTTCAGCGAAATCGTTGTCTAGTGAAAAACATTTCCCCACTGGAATGCATTGAAACCTGTTTAATGCGTTCCAATGGGGAAGAATTGTTGTTGTCTAGCGAAGATCGGCCATAGGAAAGCCGCTTCGCGAACCGCCGATCAGCTGTTTAAATTGCTATCTTGCGAAGCTTAGGTCTCGAAAACACCTGTTTTGCGAGCGCGGAGGGAGCTGTCAAAATCGTCGTCTAGCGAAAATTGGTTTGCGAAGCAGGCACCAAACTTTGTTCAGCGAAATTCCCCCATACGAATCACTGTTTTGCAAATCGCTATAGCGCTCACAAAAAGTCAATGTCTAGCGAAAAAAACTGTTATGCGGGGTAACTGTCTAGCAAGGCACCACTGTAATTGTTTTGCAATAACCATTGTAAACTATTGTTCAAGCCTCAATTCTAAAAGCACTTTCATTTTCCGGGGTACTTTTTATCTGTGCGTGTTTTGTGCCATCAACTTGGAACCAATTTATAGTGACCCTAATAGGGCTTTTAAGATAAGTGAGATTGTTAAGGAGTGGTTTTACCAGTTC